GAGCTATCAGGGGATGTTTTATGGGGATATGTTATGTTTCGGGGTACTTATTGGACATTATAAAAATGTGTGTTTTTTCTGCCTGGGGATAATTAAGTTAAATCATTATCTACCTTAATTATATCACAGGCAGAGGGGAGGAATTGTGTACTGTATGTGGGAGTGTCATTCATTGTCACATTGTTTTTATTGACTTGCATACTTTGTGTCCCTGTGTCCAACAAGGTCCACCTGTGCGTCACCTATATTGGGAAATCTGTATAAAAGGCCAGTGTTCCTCCATTAAAACGGAGTTCCTGTTTTACCCTCAACATTGAGTCTCATCTCATGTGTGGGGGGAAAAGGCTGCATCTACCCTGGGGATTGCGATATCACTATACTCCCCAGGGATTTTAATCACTAAGCTCTTTTAAGAGCTGTTCCTGCTTGACTTTATGGAGGCAGAGAGGTTCACCCACTGGAACCTGGAGCCTTGTCGTAGTTCCAGGGTGGGTAGGAGACGGCGTGTTCCTAGCCAAGCTGTAACGCTGGACGTAGGGACTGCGGTGCTGATGGTGTCTAGTGGAGTGCTTGGAGTCCTCGATGAGCACTAGGAGCATCCGTCGGCGGAGGTACCCAACCAGGGTACAGGAAGCTCTGTTACAGTAACTATGTAACTATGATTTGTCTTCAGCATCAATAATGGCTACTGTTATGATTACTTTGGTTAAATCCCACCCTTCTTCAGAGCTTGGGTAATACCCATATGTGATGCTGCCGTATTTGGCCAGGAAAGTAGAAAATTGTTCCCAAACTTACCGTAATTTTCTTTTCCTGGCTATTATACACGGCAGCATCAAGCTCCCTCCCTTCTGGATTCTTCAGCTGTAGCTAACACTACTGAGAGGTTTAGAGGGGAGTGGGCTCTTATGGGAAAGTTACGGTAATTGTTTAATTAAGGGGCTTACCCATATGTGATGCTGCCATATATAATAACCAGGAAAATAAAATTACGCTAAGTATGGAAACAATTTTTTTGTTTCCAATTTTCTTAAAATGCGGCACTTTCCATCCCTTTATTTTTGGTAACACACCGATTGTGTCTGACAATGCTCATTACTAATTCAGACAATTTATCGGAACCTCTTGTGAAGAAGCTTCTGCCTGAATGAGAGAACATAATTTTTTTTGCTAATTAAATTCCTTTTAGAGATGAGGTCAGTTTTCATAGTAAAGAGACTCCAGGATTTGATCCATTTTTTTGTACATTTTATACTTTTTAGCTTTAATAATTACCGATAACATTTTTTTTCTATGAACACTTTGTATATTTTTGCAAATGATAGAAATTAAATAAATTTTTTTAAAGCAATCTGCATGTAACTCCGCCCTGCCCCCCTTTCTCATTTTTAAATCTTTCCGCCATGCTGCGTCCTGTACCTGCGTATTACCTTTCTGTCCCTCGCTTCCAACCTGCAAGGTTTCTCCAGTTACACACCTATCACATGAGCGCCTGCTCTGAGCTGAACTGAGGCTGTGCACAGAGAGATATAGTTAACAACACCTACAGAAGATAAACAGTTTGATTTATAGTGAGTTAGTGACCAGCTTTATACGCCAGTGACTGTCACATAATTTAACCCTTGCAGTCAGGCCCGGACTTGCCATCGGGCATACCGGGCAAATGCCCGGTGGGCCACAATGGTCATGGGTCGAGGCTGGCAGGGGAGATCACAGGATCTCCCCTGTCGGCCCATGCAGAGCCAACGCTATCCGATCGCCAGACCTTCATGGGCCGGTGGGAACATCAAAGATCTCCCTCACTGGCCCACAGGCAATGAAAGGCGGCCACCTGCTGGAGAGGAGAACCCGGGGGAGCTCTAGCCAGCACTCACCAATAGGACCACCAGGGAGGGCAGCAGCACAACCCCCCCCTCCCAGGCTAAAGGTAAGAAGGGGGGGTGGGAGGCGGGATATAGCTATGAGTGATTTCATTATGGAGATTGATTTCGCTTGCCTTTATTAGAAAGCCTATGCACATTTTATTTTACATAGTTGATTTTTTCTAACTACTACTTTAAATAAATCAGCCAAGCAAAGTTGATTAACTACTATCTTTCTATAACGGCAATTAGTTAGTGTAGGGCAGAAATATTGCCTTCTTTGACTAAGATTGTATTTCTGTTGTAACTTTTCATACCAGGGGGTCCCAGAGGAAGTCCTTATAGGACGAAACACATAGGACCTGGAGGAGTGGGTTTGACCCCCCATCTACATCAGGGGAGGCACCCTTGAGCGATATTCTTACATCCTTCTTGTGAGTGTTATCCAATATAGCGCATTTACACTTATTCTACAGTGTTACACTATTATTTGTTTTTATTTATATTGTAGATCTGCAGCTGTATGCATAGGACAGAAATAATACTGAAATTCTAGCACTATGGAGGGATTTAAATAATAAATATATTTGTATAATCAACAGCATTTCTGTTAAACTTAAATAAAATGCACTGTCAGTTTAACTGAATTGGTTACACGGGACTTCTTTATGGATTTGGTCATTGATAGCGGCTCTGTGTGGATAATAGTATCTATGAGCATTATTCGCTGTAATCCTTGTATTAAAGGAACACTAATGGCACCTTAACAACGTTATTGTTATGAAGGAGCTCCCAGGCACCTTTAAGGGATTAAAGTGCTAGCAAATGGTGTAACCCCAAAGTCTTGTAGCCAGCGCTGTTTAGCTCTGCCCCTACCCTTCCACTTCTCTCTGTTTCTGAGAATCGGAGCGAACTTCACATTTTCAGCTAAACATATTCACACACACACACAGCACTAACAACACACACAGCACACTCACAACACCCTCACATGCACACACACACTACAGTCCATATGCATCCCCTATACACATTATGCCCCATATACACACACTCTCTACAGCCCCTAGCCGCACATATTACACCACAAACACAAATGAAACCTACCTATTTACACAATACCACACCACAATCGTCTCACTATACACACACGCAATCCCACAAGCAGCCTCCAAACACATGCACCATACGCTTTCCAGGCCCTTCTGTCCTCTGGTATCCGACTTATGGAGACACCAGAGACAAGTTAAAAACAATAAATTTGCTTGCGCTGCGCAGAACAAATACAGGGCCCTTTTCTAATGCTAGAGCTCTTCAGCGGAGCTCTGCGCATTGAACCAACATGCTCACTTTGAGAAGGGGCGTGCTTGGCATTACAGGGAGTGCAGAATTATTAGGCAAATGAGTATTTTGACCACATCATCCTCTTTATGCATGTTGTCTTACTCCAAGCTGTATAGGCTCGAAAGCCTACTACCAATTAAGCATATTAGGTGATGTGCATCTCTGTAATGAGAAGGGGTGTGGTCTAATGACATCAACACCCTATATCAGGTGTGCATAATTATTAGGCAACTTCCTTTCCTTTGGCAAAATGGGTCAAAAGAAGGACTTGACAGGCTCAGAAAAGTCAAAAATAGTGAGATATCTTGCAGAGGGATGCAGCACTCTTAAAATTGCAAAGCTTCTGAAGCGTGATCATCGAACAATCAAGCGTTTCATTCAAAATAGTCAACAGGGTCGCAAGAAGCGTGTGGAAAAACCAAGGCGCAAAATAACTGCCCATGAACTGAGAAAAGTCAAGCGTGCAGCTGCCACGATGCCACTTGCCACCAGTTTGGCCATATTTCAGAGCTGCAACATCACTGGAGTGCCCAAAAGCACAAGGTGTGCAATACTCAGAGACATGGCCAAGGTAAGAAAGGCTGAAAGACGACCACCACTGAACAAGACACACAAGCTGAAACGTCAAGACTGGGCCAAGAAATATCTCAAGACTGATTTTTCTAAGGTTTTATGGACTGATGAAATGAGAGTGAGTCTTGATGGGCCAGATGGATGGGCCCGTGGCTGGATTGGTAAAGGGCAGAGAGCTCCAGTCCGACTCAGACGCCAGCAAGGTGGAGGTGGAGTACTGGTTTGGGCTGGTATCATCAAAGATGAGCTTGTGGGGCCTTTTCGGGTTGAGGATGGAGTCAAGCTCAACTCCCAGTCCTACTGCCAGTTCCTGGAAGACACCTTCTTCAAGCAGTGGTACAGGAAGAAGTCTGCATCCTTCAAAAAAACATGATTTTCATGCAGGACAATGCTCCATCACACGCGTCCAAGTACTCCACAGCGTGGCTGGCAAGAAAGGGTATAAAAGAAGGAAATCTAATGACATGGCCTCCTTGTTCACCTGATCTGAACCCCATTGAGAACCTGTGGTCCATCATCAAATGTGAGATTTACAAGGAGGGAAAACAGTACACCTCTCTGAACAGTGTCTGGGAGGCTGTGGTTGCTGCTGCACGCAATGTTGATGGTGAACAGATCAAAACACTGACAGAATCCATGGATGGCAGGCTTTTGAGTGTCCTTGCAAAGAAAGGTGGCTATATTGGTCACTGATTTGTTTTTGTTTTGTTTTTGAATGTCAGAAATGTATATTTGTGAATGTTGAGATGTTATATTGGTTTCACTGGTAATAATAAATAATTGAAATGGGTATATATTTGTTTTTTGTTAAGTTGCCTATAATTATGCACAGTAATAGTCACCTGCACACACAGATATCCCCCTAACATAGCTAAAACTAAAAACAAACTAAAAACTACTTCCAAAAATATTCAGCTTTGATATTAATGAGTTTTTTGGGTTCATTGAGAACATGGTTGTTGTTCAATAATAAAATTAATCCTCAAAAATACAACTTGCCTAATAATTCTGCACTCCCTGTAGTGGCACACCCTCTCTGGCCCCACCCCCTTCTCAAAGGCCGCTCTGATTGAAACATTTTTGCCCAGTCCGACCCTGGTTGTAGTGCTGAGTTAACATTAGATATTTCACACAGACTAGAACGGACAAGCTGACTCAGTGTGGGCAAAGTTCAAGACTGACGATGGAACGAATAACTTTAAAAGTGAGCATTTTTTATCCATTTTATTATTTTAGAATGGTTGTTTTTGCATGATTTTAAATGCATTATTTATACAATATGCTAGGAGATATGGTCAATTTCAGGGCATAAAGTCCCCCCTAAGTGACAAAATTCCCAGCCCCTCATAACTTGTTCTTCTAGTACCTTTTATGAAAAACTATATATTTATCTTATATTGGTGCAGAAATTAGTGGTAAGGAACTGGCATTTAATACCTAACAATGGTAAGTAGGGCCTTCAATGCATTTAATTTGTGAGTTTGTACCTAAATGCTTTCCTCATGGAGCTGCTCTAACCGCCTTCTCCTATGAAGCCGGACCCTAACCACCATTTCCCATTGAGCTGGGCCCTAACCACCATTTCCCATGGAGCCGGGCCCTAACTGCCATCTTCCATGCAGCTGGACCCAAACTGCCTTCCCCCATGGAACCGGGCCCTACCCACCTTCCCCCATGGAGCTCCCCATGGAGCTAGGCCCTATCTGCCTTCCCCCATGGAGCCAGGCCCTATCTTCCTTACCCCCATAGAGCCGGGCCCTATTTGCTTTCCCCCATGGAGCCGGGCCCTATCTGCTTTCCCCCATGGAGCCGGGCCCTATCTGCCTTCCCCCATGGAGCCGGGCCCTATCTGCTTTCCCCCATGGAGCCGGGCCCTATCTGCCTTCCCCCATGGAGCCGGGCCCTATCTGCCTTCCCCCAGGGAGCCGGCCCTATCTGCCTTCCCCCATGGAGCCGGCCCCTATCTGCTTTCCCCCATGGAGCTGGGCCCTATCTGCCTTATCCCATGGAGCCGGGCCCTATCTGCCTTCCCCCATGGAGCTGGGCCCTATCTGCCTTCCCCCATGGGGGCAATGTCCAGATGTTAATAGACACCAACACTCAAAATTCCCAGTTACAAGTAAGTACATGACGGGTTTTATGGCCGGTTACCTAAAACTACTATTAAATATAGATGTTGAAAACATTTAATACATTTTTACAGAATTGTTGATCAGTATTTTCTGCTTATTGAAATTTCTTTTTTTTTTCATTCTTCTTCTTTTTCTACTTGTTTTTTCCCCACAATGAGCAAATAGATGTGTGATTGCAATGATTGCTCCTGTGATAGCGTGTTATAAGCTGCCTGTTTGTGACATAAAACATGTAACATTGAGCAGTTAGCGGCGTTTCACCATTTAAAGAGAAATGATAGGCTTTCACGATATGAAATCATTTTGTAAACATAAAAAAATAAAAACACTCTGAAATGAAACTGTGCAATGCCGCCCATAGCCGGAATTAAAAAAAATATATAAAATGTACATTGCGAAGCATAATATCCATTAAATGTTACACATTCCTGAAATACGGTCCTGGACATTTAAAGGGGAATTGTCACATTCCAGAAATGGTAATGTTATTTCTAGTTAACAAATATGTTTGAAGATATCAAAAATAAAATGAGAAGTAAAGAACTGAAAGTGCTGTATTTACCTCTCTCTTGGAATTGGGCGACTGTCAATCACTATCAGCACTGCCTTTTGCACCTGGCGGTCAGTACAGAGAAAGCATCGAGGAGGAGCACAAACATTGTTTATGTTTCCCCTCGTCCGCCAATCCAATGAGCTAAACGTGAATTTATTGTCAACATTTAAAAGAAAACAGGGCGATTCCCAATGTCTTACTCATTGGTCTAATTCCCTTTGAAATCTTTTTCATGAGGAGGTATATGAAACAGGTTACCCGTCAGTATGTAGTATTCATATGCTGCAGTAAACAATGCATTTCTTTCATGATCCATTATTCATTGATCAGCTGAGTTCCTGCCTCATAGCACATGAATCCTGCATACCAAAAGGCAGCATTTATCAAGAACACCCCCAACAAACATGTTAGAATGATACGTATCCAGCCTGGCTCGTACAATGCTCAGCGCCACTACAACCGGCATATACATTGATTTTACAGAGATGCATTTAGGATCAGTAACTCAGAAGAAGTGACAAGGGGTTCACAACATTTGAACAAAATAGATTGAAAAATGTCCCCAACTCAGTTTAATTACTCCTCTAAGAATTATTCACTAAACAATGATTTGTATTGAATTAAAAACCCAACTGCAACATTTAGGCCAAAGCAGCTCTGATGAAACCATCTTTAATTCCGCTTCATTTTCATTTGGCTATTTCTGACAAGTCTTTGAAATTCTAATTTCAATTCACCACAATTCCGTGTTTAGTGAGAAACCTCCAATGTAAGATATTGATCGTACGTGAACCCAGAAGTGTTCTAATCATTGCGATAGCTATGAAAATAACACAGAGTAAGGTTATTTGCTATCAATTTAGCTCTGCTCATTTCGTTTTGTTATTTTCTAAACCAGGAATTGGAAAGTTTAGGCCAAATGGAAGAAAAAAAATAGCAGAACGTGAGATTTATTTGTTAATCAGCAATTTGTGACTTAGTAAATAACCATGTATGTAATATCCCCACAAGGTGTGTCTTTATAATATCTTAGCAGGAACCTATAGATCTGACAATAAGAAATGTTATTTCTGTCCACCGCCCATTGCTGTGTAAAATATTACTCGTTTTCAGCGCTAGGACCCCTCCGCTGCAGCCTCTCGCTTCACCTGCAATCCCATTCATCTCACTGAGAAGCATTGGATTGGACAGGGCAATGTATGAGAGGCATTCAAATAAGACCCAGCTCCCCTTTGGCTGTGAAGGGCAAGTGCCTCTAGGATAAAATGACAGGACATGGCACGCAGACCACTTCATGGGGCGATCCTGGGGTTCCTTCATGCAGCACCCTCAGCCTGTTACAGTATCTCTCATTTACACACAGAGTTCTCAAAGTTCTCAAATCATTTCCCCCACAAATGAACATTGGTGTGTTTGTTTTATGGGGCTAGTTTTCCCTAATGTATAAAATGGACATATTAAAACACAGTGAAATTAATTGCAGGATCCTTATGTTATCCCAAACCGCACACAAATGAATGAATTCAGTTCTGTTGACCACTGATGTTACACCGTGTTACCGGCCAGTCCAGCAGTGAAATGGTTAAAGCCTACGTATATAACTCCCGGCACGGTGGATTCCCCATGTTCTTCCAGTGCCTCTCACAGTGTTGCACAGTGAATACAAATGGTAGAAAATGTAAACACAGAAAAGCCCATTTACAAAAAATATGTTGTTGTTTTTTTGATATTTGTTTAAAAAAAATTCTATATAGTTATAACGTACAGGTGAGACCAGGGGGCGAGATGCTCTGCAGATTCCGCTCTATCCTTGCGTATGATGCTGTGATAATCTTTTACATGCAGGTGGAAACGTTCTACTGCAAAGTCTTGTGGGGTAGGAGACGGTATTTGTTTTTGTGGGATTTTCCCCATATTTCACGTCAGTCATAAAAAGGGGGCACGTGCTCCCCTCACCCGAGCACAGACCTGAGCGAACATTTTATGCCATCCGTTGTGAGAAGAGAATAGGACTTCCCCCCTTCAATCCCATCTAACACACATACACAGACTTCTCCTGGTGAAAGCTGGGATCTCAGGCCTCTCTCTCTCTCTCTCTCTCTCTCTCTCCCTCTCTGTTGCTGTCGCTAGCGAACGAGGACAGGCAGACCACACTGTATATTCCTCACTGGTACCCAGACGTCACTAACTGCTCCCGGTAGAGTTGGAACTGATGTGATTACTGATCATGTGATGGTTTAGAGAGGAATTGG